AAAAAAAAAAAAAAAGTTTGTTATATTTCCTTTTTTTTTTCCTGTCGTCTTTTTTATTTTGTTGATACCTGAGTGAATCCTTCAAAAGCTTTCCTTTCCAGTCTCATTTAAAACAGCTGTGGTATGGACATCATCCCCGCTCTCTGCTCACACTCTCATGGCTGGGTGCATTTTGCACATGAGCACTTCTACATATTCACAAACACAGTCTAATCAAATGAAGACACTCACATTCAACTTCAAAGGGAACAGTGAAAATGAGGACTTCGACATCACAGTGCTGAGGGTGGCCAATCAAACTTAAATGTTCAAAAATAGTGCACTTCTTTTTTTCTTTCGTTCAGTTGGGATTTCGCATACGGTATTAAAGCTGAAGTGTGTGATTTCTGCACCACTAGTGTCATTAAATGGAACCGCAGGTTTTCAAAACACTCCCCTCTTCTGCTATTGGTTAGATAAAACTGATAGCTCCGCCTCAAACTCACGCCATTGGTTGAGCTGTTGCCAGGTCGGTGAAATGTTTCCATAGTGCCTCAGAGACAGCGTTTATGCTTTTTGGTGAAATCAGCCTAGAAATGGCTTATTTATAGTAATCTCTGTGTATTAATCAAGTATTTTAACAAATAGTAGTTGATTTTGCATTAAAAATGCATTTAAGACTGACTAACTTTGGTCTGAGATTCACTTCCACAGCTGAGAGGGGAGGGAATATCAACTCAAAAACATTTCAAGGTTGAATATTAACGATGTTTTGGTAAGTGTTTCTAAAAAAATTATTTTAATTTTGAATACATGGAATGCCGTTTTGTTTCTAACAGGTAGTACCAATCCACCGAACCATGAGAGCATTCGACGCAAACACATACATAGAAACACAAATGCAGTCTCTGGACAGCGGATGACATCCTCGGAGATCAGTGGAAAGTTGAACTAGCGCCCTCAAATTCGCAAGGTTTGACAAAGCAGGTCTCAGGCAGCAGTTATGGCCATCCTTCCCTTGACTATGACACTGACCGATGAAAAGACAAACTGACTGAGGCTCATGCAGTTGCGGTGGGTGGGACTTTGGGAGGGGAAGTGTTCAGAAAGAGACATGTCCGCTAATCAGGGCTCAATGACACAGTCATCATGCTATCAGAGGGTTTAGCATTGCATAGACATTCTTGCTTCTGGGCGTTTTTTGTCTTTCGCTAAAGAAAAAAAAAAAGATAACAAAATTTGGTAAAAAAAAAGGATGAGAAACAAAACTACACAACCACCAAAGCGAAACAAAACCAGTATCTACTGTTCTCCTCTGAGGAAACTGATTGGCAGTAGCGAGGTCAGCTAAGTGCTTCTGGGTACCAGACCATACCCACCTATGTCTCTACCAGCAATCTGACCTAGCGAACAAATGTACGTCTAGCTACCCTGTCAGAAAGAGCGGTTTGAGTGCGGGGCAGAGGGTTGCGGAGGCACAGGGTTGGATTGTTAATTTCATGGGGCACTTCTTCTTCTTCATATTTGTATTGAACATGCACGCTTGCGAGTGCACAAAAACACACATACAGATGTGTGAAGCATTTACAGAGCTACGTAAGCAGAAAAATGGAGGGATCATTTGGCGCATGGGCTGTGTTCTGGCCTCGACATCCAGTATGTGATGGTTGCATATGGTTAACACATAGAGATTTAATCTTTCAATATCTTTTCGTTTTGTATTTACATCCTTGGTTATGGCCAAAAAAGTCCACTCTTGCTGGTGACCTGAAGTGAGGTTCTAGTTCCCGGGCTCGGTTCCAGCCCAGTCCTGTCAGCTACATTCAATACCATGAAGCACTCTCTGCTGTCACGGATGCACACGACTCCCTTTCCAGCCACATCACATCTCGTCTGCTCCCATTACGGCTCGTTGCATCAGCACAGGCGACACCGTTCGCAAACGGAGGCTAATGCATGCAACTGGTGCAAATCTGAAACAGATGGGCTTTCGAGGCTGAAGGAGGGAGCTGTGTGCTTCCGCAATCACATGAACGCTCGCGCACATACACCCCATCGTACAGTTCAACACATGCACTGGACACACTTTGACATAAGTGCCACGCAGATAAGCACTCCTCCCAAGTTCATTTAAGCTTTGTGTTGTGTGAGGTATGAGTAGATTGTGTTTCAGTTTTTTTCAGTTTCTGTTGCATTTCAGTTATTTCATAAAAAAAAGAAAACAAAATATAAAAAAAAAAATATATTCCTGTTTCTTGTTGTAAATTCCTCTTGATAAAAAGTCAAAGGACATATACACAGACAAACAGAGCAGTCGACTAATCATTACAAACTATAGTGAGGTGAAAAAGAGGTGAAATTCTCTAGTTTACACTGCACGCATGGTCAAAAAGTGACTACGGCTGTTGTTTTTCTCTCTTACATAGAGCAGTTAAGCATCAAAAACGAACACACAAATTGCAGTTCAAAACAAAAAGAAAGAAACGAACAGCTCAAGCTCCAAAATTTGAACTTTTTGTTCTGGAGTAATTTTTTTTAAGTTGTTTTCTGGGTTTGTAATTCTTTTATTATATCTTTTTTTATTTTTCTATCTCTCTCAAACAAAATTAGAAGGTAAAGCAGCATCGAAACCCTTGCGTTCACTTGATCAGCCAATCGGAACCACCGCTGCGTTATTCCTATTTCAAGATGGAATTCCATGCCAGATGTTTACGGAATGCTGACAGTTCTTCTCGTTCTGATTGGCTGCGTTCCTTCGCAACCATATTATATCTCGTTCTGGCTCTTTCATTCTGCTGCTCCTTGTTCACATTCATTCGGTGCTGCCATTCTTTGCATGGCTTGGCCACTCCTTTGTCTCACAAAGGAAAGGCCCGTTTCTGTTGGGTGTTCGCCTCTTCGAGGGGGCGGGGACACAGAGGTCTGTTTGTGAATGTGTGTTTCGTCATTTGTTGAGAAAGAACACGACCGGGACTTTGCTTGACTTAATACTGACTCTGAGGGTGTGCTGAGGAGCACATGAAGGTGTGGCCTCTGTTTGACAGAGAGGTTGGGGGCGTGTCCTTGGAAAGCATGGACTGAGCTGGAGGAGCTGGAGGGTGGGACCCATCATGCCTTAGTGCAAAAACTCCTTAAAAGTGCCAGGGGTTGAATCGTCTCTGAAGATTTGGCTCTTTCAAAGCTAAGTGCTCTCATTCAACTGCTTACCCGCGTCCCCTGCCCCACCCTGAAGAAACCAGCCGACCCCTCACTTCACTTTGCAAATTACTGCTTGGTATTGAAAAGGAAACAGCGATAGACCCATTTGATTCAGGCCTGGTCACCTCGGGTCCTTCATCTGTAGTTCTCTCCATGGCTCCTCTTCGTAGTCAGCGGCATGTATGGTTTAGTTCGCCATCTGCT